GGTCTGGAACAGCACAGCCACCACTTTGGGCGTGGCTGGCCCATGTCTTAGTGGTTGCAGCCGCAGCTCCTGGACCCAGAGAGCTTCCTGGGATGAGGAGTGGGGGACATTGCTCTCTGGTGACAAAGGAGGGATCAATAAGCTGTTATGGCCGAGACACAGTAAAATAAATGGGAGAGGCAGCAGGAAAAGGCAGGTGCTGCCCCAGATGGGGGCATTTTTTAAATCATGAATTGCATGGTGCTGATGAGAGCAGCTGGCACAGGGTTTGGGGAGAGCAGAGGAGGAGCCAGTCCTCCTCTTGCTTCTGCTTTCCAGCCTCAGACATGAAATCCATCCCATTCCTCGGTGGGGGTTTACAGCTGCGTGGCCCGACGAGGCCAGGATGAGCTGCCGCTGCCTCAGGGACAAGAGTGATGCCCTTGGAATATTAAAAAGAGCAATGTTTAAATATGAAGGACTGCTAATTATCAGGAAGAGCTGCTGCCATCTATCACCGTAATCAGTGATCTGTCAGTTCAAGTGTCACTGGGACGGATGCACCTTTCTTCCTTGTATTAATCTCCCACTGTCCTGGTGAGTGAGGAAGGGGCACGGCCAAACCCCACGGCTCTTCCTGCCCTCCCCCAGGGCTGTGTGTCCTCCCCGCTGTGGTGCCACCCTGGGCTGGGTGGCCACCAGCAGCACTGGCCCCTGGGTAGCCTTTGCACTTACTGTGTCCTGCTGACAACAGACCCATCTGCCTGGCAGGCACAGGAGCCATTTAATTACACAATTATAGATGTCTTTGGCAGCCTTATCTTGCTGAGGCTGACAGGCACCTTCAGCATCAGACAAAGAGCCGCGTTATCACCTGATGTCAGCAGCCACCTCCCTGGGCAGCAGCCACCGTGCCGCAGAGTCTCTGCTTTGACTTGCAGGGAAATGCAGTGTGTCAGGTGTCACGTCACGCTGCCTCCACACGGGATGTGCCACTGCAAATCAAACGCCCCAAAATAAAACTTTTCCTCTTAAAATAAACTCGTCACTGTAAATTTAAACTCTTGCCAAAGAATCGTGATTTGACATGAGTTGCTTTTGCCAGTAATTTACAGAAGTGGGTGGTTTTAATTACTATTTATAATATGTGTGAGAGTCTAAAGAGAGATACGAAGGTGTCTGTGTCCAAATATGCGTTAGCTGTACAACACAAACCCCACATCCCTAATGTAGCTCCAACACAGCAGAGCTGGAGAGGGAGTGAAACAATTCCCTCTGAGCCATCGCGTGATCCCGGTAAGTGCCAAGGGGCTTGGGGATGGGCTGCCCTTCCCACTCCATGGAAAAAACAGCAGCAGGGGAGGGAAGGGGGAACCATGATGCTGGGCTGCTCTGTGCTGCCTCTGAAACCAGCATCAAGAGATGACAAGGGGACAACAAGATGTATAGGCTCAGATCAGAATTTTGCCAGACTTCCCGTGTCAGCGAGGAGCTGGGAATAAAAGGAAATCTGTCAGAGTCCAAGAACCTAAAATACAAGACGCAGCGAGGAGCTGTTGGTTATTGATGATGAGATCTCTGAAATTTGGCTGCTATGCGTCAATGTCAAACTGCACTGAAAGATTCTGTGTGTTCCTCTGATTAAAATTCAGCAGCCTGAGGTACTTTAAGTGGTTCTCGAGAGACAAAAACTTACAAAATTCCGCAAGGCGAGACGGGATCCTGTCTTGTCAACAGACCGCAAGAAAAATTTCAGTTTCCCAGCCTCAGGAAGGGCATTTTTTCTGGGAAAAGCCACGATCTGTGGGTGATGCTGATTAGCACAGTCACTAATCACGATGGCTCGCTTGATTGGTGTATGGAACCATGGGGAAACGACGAGGCGGTGGCATCTCTTGGCCTGTTTGGCTGCAAAGACAAAATGCTTGTGGTGAGCGTGGTGCTGGCAGTGCCATCAGACCCCCGTGTCCCCTTCATTCAGTTTGCCCATGGGACCCACCCAAGACCCTGGCCCACAACCCGACCACAGCTGTTCCATGTTGGCCACCACTCATCACACAACAGCCACGTGTCCCTATCTCTGCCCTCCTGGGTCCCCAACTTGTCCCAGCCTCCACCAGCACACAACGAAATGCAGGTGACAAAGGAGCAAGGTGGCATCTGCCAAGGGCTGGGGCTCCATTATTGATTTGAGGAATGTTTCAAACAGATCATTTATTTTCATTAGACTTCTGCCGACATCTTCATATCAGTGTCCCCTACGTAGGTCGACATCTGTCCTCGGGAATGCTTTAATTGCATTTTCTCTGCTTTACGCAGCTCTTAGCTAATGCATTCTGGCTTCATTAGATTAGACACCTATTGTCCTGAGGATGTTGTCATGTTTTCAAATGGCTTCAATCAGCACCTCCCAGGCACCAGCTATTTTGGGATATAATAAAAGTGAAACCTCATTCAGGCTGGATGAGTAATGGAGGTGCATTTCCCAGCCCCCATCCAGCCTGGCTTTAAATTTGACTCACTGACATCCCCCTGGATGCCGGCAGAACACAATTAAGCCTCTTGTCTTGCAGGCATTGTCCGCGTGGTTACACACTGCTCTGAGGAAGAGCTCTGCAACAGGAACTCGGTTTCTAATGATCTTGTCATCGGGAACAGCACAGAGAGATTAAATGAAAGACCGGGGGAACAGTCAAGATCAAAACTCAGATTTCCAGATGTCCAGAGCATGGCAGGCTCATGGCACTCCGTCTTCTCAGACCCCGCCTGGCAGAGCAGCTCAGGGCACTTGTGTGTGCACCTACCCTTAATGAGAGACAACAAAACACAGGGTGACAGACTCAGAGCCCACCCTCCACCAGCAGCACTGGGGGCTTCTTTCCTTGGCAGCTCCAGGCAAAGGCCCTTCTTAGACCTTGTTCTGCTGCACCTCTTTCCCCCAGGACCCTTCACCAGCACTTACAGCAGCTCCAGTCCCTGCTGCAAATTGGCCACAGGCTCAGGAAATGAAGGCAGAAGGGTCTGGGGCAGGACTCTCCCTCCCCAGTCGCTCTTCTCAGGCAAAAGGGTCATCTCAGCCCTGTCCTCTTGGCACGAGCTACCACAATATCTGTATCTATCCTTTTCACCCCACAGGCGGTATTTTGACTTCTGGAATTCATCTTACCTACACGAGGGACTCTAAATATATCCCAGACAATTTCCTCTCCTCATTTTTAATAATCTCTTTCAGCATTAAATTAGTTTTTGAAAATATGTATTGGGATGATAGGCTTTTTATCACAGCTGATAGACAATATTCATCACCCCCACGTCCTAATCCTCACAACACACACGCATTCATTACAGTAGCTCCGCATCAATTTTAACAGCACTTAATTCATTACAACTCCATTACTGCCTGTGCATGCTCCCCGCAACGACTTCACCAGCCATTTGTCACCTGGGTCCCCATGGTGCTGAGGTCACTCCTCAAGCCATGGGACGGGATGGAAGATGCCACTCTGTCTCCACACATGAGCAGGGCTCACTCCAGAAACCTCATGGGGGTGACAGATGGAAAAGCAGAGGTATAAAATCCCTTTTCCTGCCCAGGATCCCTCTCTCTGCTCACCAGGCTGCGAGTGCACAGGGTGTCCACACCCCCATGGGCACAGGGAGGCCTCAACGAGGAGCCATGATGCCCAAGTCAGGCCAGAGCCGAGGGAGTGACATAGTCTGGAGACTGGTGACAACAAGGAAAATCTCAGAAGATGCATTACAATGAGGGTGCAGAGATGGCGAAGCTGCAACCTCTGCCGTGTCCCAGGAGCACAGAGTTGTCTACCTGGCAAAAAATAAATCTCCTCAAGCTCACTGTGCAAAAAGACCAAGGACACAACAACACAGCCACCCCCAGGTCCCTCTGTCAACACCTCTCATCGCCCCTGCCAACAGCCAGCACCTAGAAGAGTAAGAGCAGGATTTACACTCCTCAGCCCACGTGCCAGGCGGTTTATGGCACCGTAAAATGTCTGGGCACCAAGCAAACACAGCTGAGCAATTCTGCACAGCCCTGTGGTTTCCAACACTGCTTTATGACTCCCTTCTACTGCTTTCCCTATTGCCCAGGGCTCCCACCCAGAGCAGAGGACGTGGGACAGAGGAGCGGGTCCCCCATGTTCCCCCTTTGCACTGGGGAGCACTCCCTCCACCAGCATCGCAGAATTAGCCCAGAATCAATTCGACCCACTCTGCCAGGAAAGGAAATACCCCACAACGCTGCTGGTGCCACAGGTGCAGGCAGAAAAGTGCTGCCATTGAATACCTGCAGAGAAAGATCCATCAATAATCCTTGGAGCCAAAAGACAATTATGACCGTAGCAAAGAATTTCAGCCTCCAAACAGGACAAGAATATCGTTGGCGCAGGGAGATCTTGGGAAGACGGAACAGCAACATGGTGGCTCTGTATTTAATATTTTTACTTCTAACCAAAACCAAATTGTGCTTAAGCACAGTAACAGGTAAAGCCAGATCATTAGCAGATGTAGGTAGAGAAGAGAAGGGCAGAGACCTTCCCTGTAGCCCACAAGCCCCTGCCTGGGTCCACTACGTCCCAGCACCAGCCCCAAGCCTGGCACATCCCCTCCAGAGTGGTCAAGAGACCACCACAAGTCTGCAGCCTCCAAAAGCCCTGTTCTGTGCTGTCGCTGTGCTCCTGCCTGCACTGCCCACAGCCAGGGCTCGCCTCCCCCGGTCCAGGCTCCTGCTCTGCATCAAGAAACTTCCCACAGCAAACAGCAGACACAGCGGGGAACAGATGGCGAGTGCCAGATGGGTGAGGTGTCTGAGGAGGAAGATGTTATTACCTGGAGTGAGCCATGAGCTCCAACCATCCCACTCCACACTATCGGCCCCTCCAGAGTGGTCAAGAGACCACCACAAGTCTGCAGCCTCCAAAAGCCCTGTTCTGTGCTGTCGCTGTGCTCCTGCCTGCACTGCCCACAGCCAGGGCTCGCCTCCCCCGGTCCAGGCTCCTGCTCTGCATCAAGAAACTTCCCACAGCAAACAGCAGACACAGCGGGGAACAGATGGCGAGTGCCAGATGGGTGAGGTGTCTGAGGAGGAAGATGTTATTACCTGGAGTGAGCCATGAGCTCCAACCATCCCACTCCACACTATCGGCAATTAACTCAGGCTATTAACATCAAACTTCATCTCCAAAGTTCCCTCCCTCCCCCTGGCGAGTGCCAGATGGGTGAGGTGTCTGAGGAGGAAGATGTTATTACCTGGAGTGAGCCATGAGCTCCAACCATCCCACTCCACACTATCGGCAATTAACTCAGGCTATTAACATCAAACTTTGTCTCCAATAGTTCCCTCCCTCCCCCCAGCAGGGCTCACTCCAGAAACCTCATGGGGGTGACAGATGGAAAAGCAGAGGTATAAAATCCCTTTTCCTGCCCAGGATCCCTCTCTCTGCTCACCAGGCTGCGAGTGCACAGGGTGTCCACACCCCCATGGGCACAGGGAGGCCTCAACGAGGAGCCATGATGCCCAAGTCAGGCCAGAGCCGAGGGAGTGACATAGTCTGGAGACTGGTGACAACAAGGAAAATCTCAGAAGATGCATTACAATGAGGGTGCAGAGATGGCAAAGCTGCAACCTCTGCCGTGTCCCAGGAGCACAGAGTTGTCTACCTGGCAAAAAATAAATCTCCTCAAGCTCACTGTGCAAAAAGACCAAGGACACAACAACACAGCCACCCCCCGGTCCCTCTGTCAACACCTCTCATCGCCCCTGCCAACAGCCAGCACCTAGAAGAGTAAGAGCAGGATTTACACTCCTCAGCCCACGTGCCAGGCGGTTTATGGCACCGTAAAATGTCTGGGCACCAAGCAAACACAGCTGAGCAATTCTGCACAGCCCTGTGGTTTCCAACACTGCTTTATGACTCCCTTCTACTGCTTTCCCTATTGCCCAGGGCTCCCACCCAGAGCAGAGGACGTGGGACAGAGGAGCGGGTCCCCCATGTTCCCCCTTTGCACTGGGGAGCACTCCCTCCACCAGCATCGCAGAATTAGCCCAGAATCAATTCGACCCACTCTGCCAGGAAAGGAAATACCCCACAACGCTGGTGGTGCCACAGGTGCAGGCAGAAAAGTGCTGCCATTGAATACCTGCAGAGAAAGATCCATCAATAATCCTTGGAGCCAAAAGACAATTATGACTGTAGCAAAGAATTTCCAGCCTCCAAACAGGACAAGAATATCACTGGCGCAGAGAGATCTTGGGAAGACGGAACAGCAACATGGTGGCTCTGTATTTAATATTTTTACTTCTAACCAAAACCAAATTGTGCTTAAGCACAGTAACAGGTAAAGCCAGATCATTAGCAGATGTAGGTAGAGAAGAGAAGGGCAGAGACCTTCCCTGTAGCCCACAAGCCCCTGCCTGGATCCACTACGTCCCAGCACCAGCCCCAAGCCTGGCACATCCCCTCCAGAGTGGTCAAGAGACCACCACAAGCCCCCAGCCTCCAAAAGCCCTGTGCTGTGCTCCTGCCTGCACTGCCCACAGCCAGGGCTCGCCTCCCCCGGTCCAGGCTCCTGCTCTGCATCAAGAAACTTCCCACAGCAAACAGCAGACACAGCGGGGAACAGATGGCGAGTGCCAGATGGGTGAGGTGTCTGAGGAGGAAGATGTTATTACCTGGAGTGAGCCATGAGCTCCAACCATCCCACTCCACACTATCGGCAATTAACTCAGGCTATTAACATCAAACTTTGTCTCCAATAGTTCCCTCCCTCCCCCCTTCTAGGTGAGCTGGATATTCAATGGGAAAACGAACCTGTAATTCATTTCCAGCAAGATGCCTGGTTCCTCAAACAAGCGAGAAACCGCCAGAGGGGTTATTTGCCAAAAATAA